AGAAAGTTGAACGAGAGTTACGTACACAAAAAATGTTTGAAACTTATCGAAATATATGCGCATTTAAATCCTAATAATAAGTCGCCGTGAAAGTTGAAACCCCCTAAATTAGTCTCCTAGGCTTCCTGTCTAAGATTATTTATGTTTCATAGACAGCCCTATCAAAACAATGAAGTATTTTACCCATTAGAAAGTTAAATAAAAAAAATTTTCTGGCTTTTATCTTCACAACTTTTGGTAGGGAAATTGCGCAGTAGAAAATATGAAGGTGCAACTTTCGGATTATTACTTCACGTCTTTTTAAAATGGGAAAATATTCCTTTTATACAAAAAATAGGTCTTTTAACAAAAAATGTGTAATAGATTATTCGCTACTCTCTGAAGGACTCAAAATTTAAATGAAACCTTATTTTAAGGTTAACCGAAAACTGTTAAAAAACATGGCAAAATAAAATGACTGGAAAAGTGTTGTCAACCATCTGAGCTCACAATTGGTGGCAGTACTTTATATTTTAAACTAGCTGCTGAAAATTGTAGGCGGTATTAATTAATTACAGAATGATATTCTAATCCAGAATGAAAGTACACATGGCGAGAGACTCATTTTTTCATGATTTTGTAGAAATCCTATTATTACAAATTTTCTTAAAAAAAGATGAAGCAAAGTATGTCTTACGCCTGGACTGCGGTTTCAGATTTGGACGCCCCTTCCGCTCTTGGAATTTGCGCATTTCAAATGCTGTATCAGCCAATTAGAAAAGAGGTCGTTGACGTTTCTACTTGATTGGTTATCCCCATCATCCGGCCAAAATACTCTTTTCCCAAACCACTTAGTCTCCGCTTGAGACCCTTACCCAAAATAGTAGTTAGATGCACAATGATGATTTGCGTCCCAAACTCGTTTTTTTGAGAGTACTATCACATTCTTTCTTGTCTTCGTAACTTTGTGAGTAATGTCAGCCCTCATTTAGCCAACAAATGGACTACTTTTTATCGACGATTCCGTAAAATTTGTCCGTCACTTGTGGTGACATTTAGTACATTGCTTGTAATTAACACGATCTCCGAACTCCAAATCATGCGACTAGCCCCGGAACCGTCATCTCGCCTATGACTCTTAAAGATCAAAACCCGTTTACGATGTTTGTTTTATGCAAATAATCTAATTTTCTCCACAACTGCTGATGTCATGACAATCGCCTAACCTGATGGAAGAGGGTGTCTTTTGATTGCAAGACAGATTCGGAGTAAACACTTCTTTTCTACTTGTTCGTTCATTCCATAAAGCGAAAGCTTTATAATTTGTGCAACGTGCAGTCCGTAAATGAATGTCATCCCGAAGCGTTGTGATTGAGTTGCATATATACACGCTTGAAATTACCTCTTAAGGTGAAGCTCGGGTGTTAATGAAGGTCAGCTATCTTTCCCCTTTGAAATTACAGTGACTTCTAAAGGACACCTTTTTATCGCATCTGCGAGATATTGTCACAGCCTTGCCTTTCTTAGACTTAAAATTGCTCAAAGTTGTAATGCCTTGTATGTAGGGGAATTAAGCAATTGTCTAGTGAAGTTAAAAGATGTGTTTAAATGCCAATTATAAATATTTATGTTATTTAAGTAGATGATCACTACTTTTCCCTAATGTTGTTAAAACGGCCTTTTGCCTACTATCCATTCACATCCTTATACAATTGACTCAAACATCCTCGAAATGGAAATTGAGCGATAGTAATGGCTGACTTGAATGTGCCATTGAGCATCAGACCGATGAGATAGTTTTTTTGATCCTCCAGTAACTAAGCGCTTCATTATCACAAATCATCCAACAGGGGTAACTTGAAAATAAATCTCCGATTTTCTTGTCATTTTTTCCCTTTTCTTCAGGCAATGCAGGGTAATAAGCCTTTAAAAAACTCTCGCTTTTCACACGGGTGGAACCTAAGACGGCGCAACAACGGCCTGTCATTATGTTATAGCCTTAGAACATTAAAAAAATTTATGTGTGCACGTTACTAACACCTCATTAAAACCGATTAACTTGTCTTTACGCTTCAATTTTAGCAAAGAACCATCAAATTTCACTGACACACACGATGATGTCTAGGTTAATTCCATGAGGAAAATAATCGGATACTTTTGTCCCATTTAAACGTCCGCTCATCCGTGGTACCACTTGCAGTTCCCCGGTGCATTAGTATTTGAAGTTGGTGATTCGACCATCATAACTCCAGTCAGGAGCGCTTACTGATATTACTACTTTACATCAGTATCTAGTAAATAAGTAATTTTATTTCTAAGAAATTGATTGGAAGTTACATAAATTTCCCATTGTTTTCATTGCTGAAATCGACCTTGGAAAAGCATGAAGTGATCCGTTGATCAGTTTTGCTAAAAGTGGATGGAAGGAAAAGAAGAAGGAAGAGTTTTACTTCATACTGAGAATTGGAAATGCCTTGGGCTATCTAGCATTTATAGCCGATTTTGAAAAACAACCCAATGTAACGTAGGAATAGATGTCGACACTAATGTCTTCCATTGTGAAGGTTGCCATTCGTTCGGCCAGTAGGTATCTCTAGTGCTTTAGCCTACATCCTTCTGTCAATCTGACGTGTAGTCCACCCTTACCCTTAGCTGCATCTATAGCTCACTCTCAGCCCCCTTTTTTCTTATCTGGTTTGGTCATACGATCTGTTTACATGAAGTCGTCATTTGTAGGTGGTAGCGTTGGACAGGTAGAGGGAGTTACTTGGTTGTTGGTATCTCTGTTTCTACGACAAATTCGTGTTCTTAGATTCCCTATTTAGATCCTTTCTCGAGTGATCGCAAGAGAGTCATCAGTTTTGTTAGTCTTGTCTGTAGAGCCCCTTAAAATCTTAGCATTTTTTATGTCAGCATAAATGATTACTGTTCTGAAACCACAGGCTCAAACCTTTCTATCTGTCAAAATTGATTGAAAACCTTAATCAACTACTGGTAACAAAGTGGTAATCAAGAATTCGCGCAACTAAATGTATTGTTGAAGTGAAAGGGTTTCTCTTACGTTGCCTTCCTAAAACCACCTTTCATACTAGCTTCTCCGCGGTGGGAGTTGGTGGTTTATTAACAACTCACGAACCAAGGGCAAAGGTCATGCATTTGTATCCCACCAGGAGGAGGGTACTTTTTATCATGGCATCAGGTATGCACCTCGTCAACTTCAATAGATGCGGAGCACTGTGCTCTTTGTGAACCACCTTAGGTAGATTTAATGCTCTACATCAAGACCGGATCATCTCGCAATCACTAACATCGTTTGGCATAAGTTTACGGTGTTAATATTCTGATCCATCCATCCATGCCACTTTTTGGCCTATTTAAATTTCATCCAGATACTAGAAAACTCGAGTAAAACAAATGCAGATTAAAGATTTTTTCTCTGAGTCTTTGCTTTGTGGTTGCTTTACCGTTGCGAATTTCTCTTCTAAAGAAAGCCTTAGGTCCTTTTTGGTCTGTTCCTTGCCCTTGCGTGATAATTTTTGCTTAATGTGCGACTAAACAGACGTTGGTGCTAACAGGCGGACAATAGATTGCGGGTGAGGCGATCGACCGCATGCCAGATTTGTAGTCGTACTGGACACGTATGACATGCTCCTCTTCACGTGGTAAACTTGAAACAGTGATTTATGAATTTTGGTGCTTCTACACCCCAGATTCGTATCTACACGCTATGGGAATAATCGAAGTCTCTCGGTAAAGCTAAAAAGTCTGCAGGAAACTACTGGGAATGATATCAAATGCGATTACGATGCTTGTACTGCTGGAAAAGCATAATTTTCGCAGAATTTATCTCTGACATATAATTAAAGAGATCCTGGTGATATTGCTGCTGTAAGATAACTATTTTAACATCGTTTTAACTACCAGAAATTAACTGATCGGACAGAATTTGTTTTAATACGTAGGAGTTTGCGAGCTCATCTTTTAAAATTAGTAAA